ATCATAATTGTAACGTTGTTAATTATCTAATAAAAAGTCCCCGGCCAAGAGGTCACCTTAACACCGAAAAAAAAAAACTTTAATAAAATGTTATAACCAAAAAAATTATTTTAATATTAAAAAAAACTAATATATATAATTTAATTTTTTAAACAACTTTTATTATTATATAAAGATTAATTTAATTAATAAAATTTTGACTTTTTTATATAGCAATTAGCTATAATTATATATAAAAATTTTCAAAACATATTTATATTAATTTACTTCTTTATAATTATATTTTTTATAATTTTAGATTAACTATTATATACTAGAAAGATTATTTAAATTCTTACTTGTCTTTTTAATAATAATTTTTTTTGTTTATTTTTGTTAAATTTATTAAAAATAGCTAGATAAAAATTTTTTTTTATTAAATTTAGAACTATTATTAGTTTTATTATTTAGTTATAATTAAAAACCCAATATTGGATTTTTTCGATAGTATTTATATATATTACTATCAAATTTTTAATAAGTAATAACAAATGATAAAATTTAAAGCCTCAAAGCCTCTCTTTTTAGTATACTTTTTAAATATAAATAAATTAATACAAATATACAGATATAAATATAAATTTTATTTAAAAGAATGTCAGTCTTTATCTAATACTTTGATAACTTGATTATTTCTATTATTTTTTTAGCAAACTCCATTTCTTCTTTTTTCAATACTTTGATAACTTGATAATTCTTGTCATTCTCTTGGCAAACTCCATCTTTTCTTTTTCTGTTTGCCTTTTTAATATCAGTTTCTAAAACTTTCTTACTATAATACTTCAATCATTTAAATTTTTTTAATATTGGTGATAGCAGATTGTTGTATAGAAAGTAGCCCTTCATTTTTACAAAGTGACTAAAGCCTTTTTGTTGTTTTTGCATTTTCTAGATTAAAATAAAATAAATAAAATAAAAATAAAAATAAAATAAAATCAATAATGCCAATATTTATATTAGCAAGATTAATAAAATAAAATAAAAAAATAATTTAAAATGAAAAATAATAAAATAAATAAATAAATAAAAATAAATAGAGCCGATATTAATAATAATTCTGTACTATCAAATAAAAATTAAAATAAATTGATAGTATACTGTAGGCACCTGTGTATTTAATCTCCTCTTTTTTTTCGCGCGTTTCCGATCTAACCTTTCCAAATATGTCTCTCGCTAGTCTATACAGTTGGCGAATCACCTGAAGTATTTGGCAGTTATTAGCATGATATTTTGTAGCATCACGCTTCATGATCAGGAAAGGACCAGAAAGAAACTGTCCCTTAATTTTTTTTGGATCCAGTTGGTCCTGGTCACTTAGATTATCCAGCAAGAATAAAACATCTCTCTATTATAAAAAAAAATAAATAAATAAAATATATTTATATATATAGATAGATACTCTAGAGCAATTTCAGGCAAAAAATTTGTCCTTTTGCTGAGTAGTTGTCCATTGTCTAATCATTGTTATAATGTGTTATTTCATGGTCTGTTTCATGAATTGTTATGCTTCAAAGACAATTATCATGTAAGTTTTGCTGTAAGAACCTATCTCAAAATTATGATTTTATTATTAGATCATCTTTTTTTTTGTTATTTTGATTCCCGGTATACAATTGCCTCTGCGCATAATTATCTTCTGTGCAGACCATGAGCTATCCACGAGACACTCTACTAACAATGTTTAGACAATGGACAAACTACTACTCAAGGGAAGGATCGAATTTTCTGCTTGTAAGCACCCTTGAAACTAGAGCCAACAACTTGCGTCAAGACCTTTCAAATGTTTTTCAAAATGTTGAGCGCACAGATGAAAAGATCTTATAAACTCCAAACAAAAAGAAATTATAAATATGTTGCGATGTGAATTTACCAATCTAGAAACTGCAAAAAGATTTTGGCAAGAATTTTTACCAGGATGGAAACAAACATTCAAGAGTTAAAAAATGTGGCGAAAGTCCTATATATATTTAATTTATATATACAATTTTATAATCACGTGCTTTTTTTACTTTAAAATAAAGGTACTATATATTTTTTAATATCTACTATGAATCGAGATATAATATACGTGGTCATTTAAATTGTATCAGAGTGCCTCAGCTATTTCTAGCATCTAAAAATAGCACGAGTGATATTACGACAACCACATTACCAGAATTCTGCGGTGCATAAATCTGCTCTGAAAATATATTTGCTTATTGTCTTCGTAAAATAAATGTTGATTTTTATCATTTTTTAAGATCAAATACAATGTAAAAAAAAGTATTTTTAGTATGAGCGGATTTATGCACCGCAGAATTCTGGACAACTCTAAAACAACCAAATTCGACCGGAATTGTATGTTTATAGAATAAAATCGAATTTAATTGTGATATCGCTAAAGTATGCTCAAATATTCACACAATACTAGTATTTATTTTTAACGACAATAAAACTGCTTCTTGTTGATTATGTATAATAAAGTACACGCATTTTTTCCCAAAAACGCGCACTTATGGAAAGTTGATCGTACAGATGTAGATCGATGTAGATCTCTGACAAGATTTTGTATTTGATTGGCGAGAACATCATTTTCGTGCAACATTAAAATCTATAAAATGAAATTTATGCCGATACCTTTTTATAATTTTAATTGTTTATCGAATTTTAGCGTTAATATTGGTCACATATATTATAAATAATGAAATGATTCAACTTAAGACGATATTAAATGTTATAGACAATTCTGGTGCTATTCTTGCAGAATGTATTCGTGTGGCTCATGGTGGACGGTATGGTCGTATAGGTATATATTATGTATGACACTTTTTTTTTTTTTATCATATATTCTATCGCTTTTCTAACCGGTTTTTATTATAAAATTTATTTATGATTTATTATTGTTTTTTTTTATACAAGGCGATGTAATTACGGTTGTAATTAAAAAGGCTCGTCCAATTTCATCAATCACAGAAAAATCTTCAGGCGGATCAGCAGCGAATCCAGCCACAAAGCTTTTAATTCGTAAGGGTGAAGTTAAAAAAGCACTTGTTGTACGCACCCGTAAAGAAACAAGAAGACCTGATGGAAGATACATTAAATTTGATGATAATGCTTGCATACTTTTGAATAATCGTCTAGAACCTTTGGCTACTAGAGTACTTGGTGTTGTAGGAAATGAGTTAAGGGGTAAGAAGTGGGGGAAAGTTGTTAGTTTAGCTCCTAGAATTGTTTGATTCTTTCCATTATTTGCTAAAATGCGATAGAAGAATTAGGGGTTGAATAGGCTTGCTCATTGATGCATATTTTGGCAGAAAGTGGGATTTAATATAAACAATTATACTATGCATTACCATTATAGATGCAGACTTATGACATCACCTAGTTACGTCCTATATAAAAAATCGGTTTATAAAATAAACCACAATTGAGCCGTAACTAGTAACGTCAATAAGTCTGCATCTATAATTACCATAGACTGCTTTTTGTGATATGGCACCTACTAGTAATTTAAAAGTTTGATCTTCAACGCATCTATCTATGAGGTAGTTTTTTATACAGTATTTGTTCCACATCATGTTCTAGAGGAGTCTAATTTATGTCTCAGATTAAAATGTATATAATAAATATAATAAGAAGACAAATAGACAAAACAATAAAACATTATATTGTTTGCATTCTTTACAATAATATATACTATTTCTATTTAACAATTATAGAGATTCATTTAGTTCTCATACTGAAAGTCTATTACAAAAAAAAAAAACCAGTAAAACAACAAAATTTTTTTGATTTATAAATATTGTATTATATTGCATTAGTACATGTTTCTATTTTTATTATTTAGTTAAAAATTAATATAAGGATTATTTTAAGTACCATATTGAATAATTAATATTGCATATGTAAATTATATAAATTAGATATTAGTGTTGGGCATATTGGCAAAAAAAAAAAAGATTCTTTATGAAATTTTAATATACAGTACAAGCATCTATAATCTAAATTCTAACTTTAAAGAGCTGTTATAATGATTTTATAATATGATTTTTCTTATCCTAACACTAACTATAAAGAGCTATTAGAATGATTTTATAATATGAATTTTGTTATCCTAATACTAACCATCAAAGTTCCAATCTGTTAAGTGTTTATCTAAATAATTATAAGATATCTGGATCTAAATTTATTCATATTCATTTACATTAATTAATATCTGGATAATTATTCAGATATCTGAGCTATCTGAATTATCTAAATAATTCAAATATGGATGATGGATTATTCAGACTAGAACTCTACTAGCCATAAAGAGTTAAAATAATTTTAGAATACAAACTTTCTCATCCTGATACTAACTGTATAGTTATTTTGCTTTACTGTAATTATTGTTTTCATACTACACTGATGATTGGCTAATTTACATGACTGCTATCTTTTTTTTTTTTATATATTGTGTATTATGTAAGAAAGCTTTAGAAATACTGATTATTCGCTATTTTAATTGGTTGATCAATAATTTTTCTGAATTGAATTTGAATTTACTCAATTCAAATTATAATCAGATTCATGAAAGAGAATCCGAATTTAATCCGGGTAGTCCTAAAAAATTAGAATTGAAGCTCTAGTAAATTGTATAATACAAAAAATAAAAGTATTTAAATTTAGTATATTTATTTTAAAATTAATTAGGTAAAGTTTTAATAGCCTTAATTAATTATTTGATAATTTTAAAATATAACTAATATTTATTTATATATTTGCAAGTATAGTAGCAAGAGTAAATTTAGATTATTTGTTTATATAGTTAGAATAATATCTTATTGGTCTGTTTATAGCCCTCATGATACTAATATAAAAGCTAGCTTTTTTTCTGATAAGATCTTATTTTATATATATAAAGTATAAAAATAATTTATTATTCTCTATTATATGTTAGTATCTTGTTTATATTCTAAATATAAAGATATTATTAGTTCATTTGGCTTAAAATATTAAGAATTTTTTATTAAACAATGAAAATTTATATAAGTTTAAATTGCTTTATTTATTTATTAAACAAATAAGTCAAGCAAATAATATTCTTATTTATATTATATTATTTGCTATAAATAAAATATATTATTATTAAACTCTTTCCAATAATCCCTCAGACCAACTTTTCAAAACCAGAATTTCAACAAAAAAACAGTAAAATATGTTTAAGAAAAGGACATAAGACTAACAAAAACCATAAACTGGCACCTATTATTTAGAGATAGTTCTTATACACTATCTGCTAGTAAGCTTAAAGCTTATCACTTACCATGGGGACGGCACTTGTTATTTAGAAGTAGTTCTTATATGCTACTTACTAACAAGTTCAGAGTTTATCACTTACTAAAAAGGAGAGCAGCAGTATGCTCGGACCTACTTGTTTTACTACTTTTAAAAAATTTTCCTAAAGAAAAGTACTAGGTCTATACTATTTACTATCACCTACTTATACTTTTAACAAAATTTTCAAAAAAAGTGAGCAAAACAGCTTACCCCTGTCAAAAGATCAGCATTGTTTACCCCTTTCAAATTTGGACAGCCCGGTAGATTGCAACCACGTGTTTTGTTTACTAACAGATATAGTGCTACTCCATGGATCTAAACACTCAGTTAAAGGAATATCTGAAAATGGTCGTATAATTGAAAAGAAACTTATACATGTTAAGACGAAGCTTTATACTAGAGATATACAAATGTTGTATTAGTATATAATTTTTTAAACCTTGGCACAAGTTATAATAGTGCTGTTTTGGTTGACACATTTCTCTTTTTTTATACTTTTTTCATCTTTTTTTAGTTATAATTAAATAGCAATTTAGGTTACTTTTTGTTTTTTTTTTTCTTTTCTAAATTTGGTTTATTTCTTTTGTAAATATGGCACTTGGTTTGTTTTTTGCGTAGAAATAAGGAATCAACTTTTCTGCTGGATCTAGATGGAAAAAGTTTTAAGAAGGGAAAAATTCAGCAATCTTGACAAGCTAATAACAGGCTTTTGTTAATCTTGCAGATCAGTTCTAAGAAGTTAGAACCTTGTGGAGAAGAGAACATGTTGTTGCAACAGATCGTATTTGGGCACCTTTAAAGCAGCTGAGTGAGTTTTTATTATAGAAAAAGAAGGGTTGAGAGCAATAATTTAAAACCTTTGTATAATATTATATGTATTCTTTGATTAATAAAAACAGGATTGCCAAAAAATAATAATAATAATAATAATAATTTAGCTATCTTTATTACTTATGCTAATATAATATAAATTATTATTACTTTTTTTTTTTTTTTGAATTAGTACCTTGATGATTATACTTCAAATATAGTTATATGAATTTCTTGTTGATATTAATATAGGAAGTATGAATATGCTTGTAATATTTTTAATAAATTTGTTCTATATATTAACAATATTAAATCTAGTGTTATTTTAGAATTAGCTCTAGGGTTTGCTTTTTTTAAAAAAATATGACTAGCATGTTTTCAACATGAATATGATAAATACAAATATGCTTTAAGAGTTTTAATAAATCTATTTAATACTGTTATAGAAATATTATGCTAATATAATACAAATCATTATTATTATTATTATTATTTTTGAATTAGTAAAAAATAAAAGAGGTTTTGTAGATTGATTTTGTTTACTTTATATATATGTCTGGTATTTAGCCACTGTATACAGTACTTGGGGTTTTATTCAAAAACTCTATTTTCAAAATTGAATAATATCTATAGATACTATATAAAGAACTAGATACTATATTTAGAGAATATTATATTAAAAGTAGTAAATTAATGTAGTTATACTCCCTGGGTCTTATTTATAAAACAGGATAATAGGAATAATAAATAATATCCAGATATTAATCATAAGGTATTATTTTTTAAAATACTGTATATAGTGGCCAACAGTACTAAATATAGCATACAGGACTTTTTCATACTTATTAATAGAAAATAAAGTGATTATTTTTTAATATTGTATAGAATTTTTGCTAGGAAAGTTTGAATCATATAATTTACGTATTGATTCTGATTATCCAAATAAAGATTTATATTAATTTTTTTTTTTTATTTATCACTTGTTAAAATATGTGTTTATTACCTTATAGTTAGGGATATTAACCTACTATATTTCAAGTACTATGTAGCAAAAAAAAACATTTTATCAAATCAGGTACTGTTATATTTTTGAAAAGAATTAATTAATGTTTAATATGTGATCTTTGTGTCTAAATTCTTTTTTTTTAATACAGAATTTGGAAAAAGTCCAGTTCTACAAATTACTTTTGATTTTGAGTTTTTATTTGCACTTAAAATTAACTATAAAATGTTTTCACAAAATAGAAAGGATAATGAATAGTATATTACTATTATTTTATATTATATTCTTGAATAATAATATAGTTTTTAATTATATGATTTATTCTATAGATATGCCTGAAGTTAAGAATAAATATATATATTCAAATGTTATTAAAAATTTGCCAAGATAGGTTATTCTAATGAAAACTTTGATTTTGGCTATTGTTATAAAAATAGAATTAAGGCTGATAAGAATAAAGAAATAGGTAATACTAATAAGATTAGTGGTGGATCTGATTTAAAAAAAATCTGAATATCAGGATATAATTTATAATTAAATTAAATAAATTAATTATAACTTTTTCTTTTATAATTAAGCATAAACTAAATTAGTATAATAATTATTATAGCTAGTGATATGAATTGATTAATTGATTAGTTGATTAAGTTGACAACTAATTAATTAATTATTAAAACATAATTTTAATCGATTAACCAACTAATCAACTAATTAATTAATCAATTTCTAACTATAGTTATACCTCTATACAATTATTCAATTTGTCTAACACTTTTTGGTAATTATATAGAAGGATGATTAAATAGAGTTACTTCTTTATAATCACATAATATAAAATAATATATATAATGTGATTTTAAAAAGGTAATTAAAAATTCATTAAAAGCTATTTGAGTAATATTTAGATTATTAAAATTGTCTAATATTTAATACTGTATAATTAATATAATTAGCTATTCTTTTTTATCTTATTGACAATTATTTTTATCAACATCTTGTTTAGTTAATACCATGTTAAGTGAAACATTATTCTTGAAATACCTATAAAAAATTAGCTAAATGATTTTTCAGCTGATCTGGTTAAGTTATTTTATTAGTATATAAAAAATATATTTTTGAATTCTTATTTACTGTAATATTGATATAATATTTACTACGTCATAAATTAAATTATGATATTAATATTACAATAAATAAGAATTCAAAAATATATTTTTTATATACCAATCATGCCAAAAAAATAACTTAACCAGATCTGCCAAAAAATTATTTGGCTAATTTTTTTATAGATGTTCTAGGAATAATGAAAATAGCTGTAAGTTAACTAGATAAATTAATCAGATATTTTTAATATTACAGCTGTTCTCAAATTTTGGAATATTTGGTAAAA